TTTAGCCCCCTTTTGAGGGGTCCTGACCACTGAAGAACAGGGTAAAAAGGGGTAACAAAGTATGCAGAGGAACAGATGGACTAAAGTCTGTAATTGTAGAACTACAAAGTGCGTCTATATAGTAAGCAGAGCTAATGAAATGGACAATGAGCGTAGAAACAAGGAGGTGGTCATAATGTTATGCCTGATCGGTGTAAATATCATGGAAATATGCCATCTGAGAATGAATCCTCTAATTATTCACTTTTTTCCATCACCAATTTGTTTCACCAAGTCTACTCCGCACTAAACATCAGCTGATGCCTTGGTATCACGACTTTCTGCTTCAATTAAAATTCACTACAGTTTCCAAACAGAAACTGGTTGCTATTCCAAAATAACACAGATTTAATCCAGTCTACCCAAAGCATACTGCTACAATACTACAAACACTATAAAAATGTAACCTGGTGCTTTGTCAGTATTGTTTCAAGTGAAATACACGCATCATGAACGCCTGTGTACACACACTGACTATTTTTACACACTGCTCCGCACACGGACTGGCACTCGCACACACACACGCATACACCCTCTTCCATCGCTTGCTCTCAGGGGACCTGCCCACAGCATCCCCACCCTCCAAAACTCAGGCGTGCCAAACTCTCACAGGAGGAAAGCTGACCACACCTCTAACCCCATCATTACTGCCTCACACACTCCACACACTCCCCCCGCCAGCTTACTCGCACAAGCCCCAAAACAGCATACAATTACCATGACCAGAATAGAACACGCATGTGTGAGTGTGTGAGTGTGTGTGTGTGTGTGTGTGTGTGTGTGTGTGTGTGTGTGTGTGTGTGTGTGTGTGTGTGTGTGTGTGTGAGAGAGAGAGTGTGTTAGTGTGAGTTAGAGAACATCGTTCATTTATTTAGTTTCTACTCAGAAATTAAGTTATTCATTTTTCAGTGTCAGGAATAAAAGCAGGAAACTTATTTAATACAGAATATTTTACAGAAGCGAAATATAATATCAAACTAAGTATCTCAAATTCTTCAGTTTATCACACCGATCCTTTGTTTTTAACTACAGCTTCCATTCTTTCTGGGAGTCTTGCTTTCAGTTTTTCAAAAAAATCTGAAGGGATGTTTTTCCACACCTTCAAAGTTCAGTCTTAGAAGTTGGTTGTGTTTTCTCCAGCACATTTATCTGGGGTGGCCAGTCCTCTGTTGTGACACCAGCAGCTTCTTTGTTTGATTTGCAAATTTTCTTTTTTTGTCTATTTTCTTTTCTCAGTAAATACAGCTACACATCCTTTCAGACCCATAGCGCTGAGATCTCTTCTCACAGTGGAAGGATGGACAGAAACATCTGTGGATTTTTTCAGATCTGAAGCAAGAGTAGAGCTTCTCTCCTATCTTTCACAGACTTGGGCCCAATCTCATTTCTTCTTTTTACCCCACCCCTTGTTTTCGAGTGTCACCCTAACCCCTTGGAACTGAGTTATAAGGCGTAGAAGTTGAAATCTTGCCCTACGAAATGGGACCATCAAATTAACAAAACACATCACTTCATTAACAGCTACTAGCGCTGCTCTGTAGGCGACCTGGCTCGTCTTCAGTGATAGCAGAGGAGGGTAAAGTTCAGCTCCTCACTGCTGGGCTTTAGTTACATTTAGGGCATCATATGCTTTCAAAGAGGGGGCAATTATTTATTATCGCCCACCTCTAATTCTTTGGTGATACAAAGCTGAAGTCAGATATTCACCAGCATCTTGTTCAAATTTTCCAGTTCCACCTTAAATGGTGCAGCAGTTACATTCTGGCGCTTCAGGCGTCAGAACTGCTGGACTATTTAAGGTGGAACGGGAAAGTTAGCTCGCTAGCTACCGAGACAATAGCATACTATTAGCGATTTTTTATGCTTGTTATGAAGAAAACGACCATAATACACTGAAACCAAATTAAACTAAGATAAAACAGTGGTTATCGAAATTTTTAGCAGAGAAAATTCTCACATCTGTGGGTTTCTTTGGTTTCTTGTTCAGCCATCTTGCCGGTTTTTCTTTTTTTTTCTCATAACACTCTGTTTGGACTGTGTCTCTAGTTTGGAGGGCCATGTAGCCCTAACACTTCACCCTAATCCTAGACATGAACGCGCAAAACAGAGGGCTAAGGGCTAAGTGGTAGGGGCGAGGGGTGAAATGGGATTGGGCCTACCACTTTAGGTACTGTTTATCTGATGGGCCAGTTTAGGTGGTCTACCAGGTCTTGCACGGTTGTTAAGAGTCTAATTTTTTCTATATCTTTCAATAATTTCTTGAACTCCAGTTTTGGAATCTCCTGTTCCTTATACAAGCTAATACAATATCTAATCTCCTAATGAAAAAAGAAAAACGTGTACTTAACGGCTGTACTGACAGGAAATGAAACAAAGGCCAGCCTCTGACTTTTGCATGTGTTTTTATATACCCAATGAGAGTGGATTGCAAGTCTGGGTCATGTATGTATTTTGGGGATGCACATGTATACCCAGTGAGAAGGAGGAAGAGAGCGTGTGTGTGTTTTGGGGGTGGGGTTTGTGTGTTTCTCTGTGGGATCAATTAATATAAAGGCACACCCAAAGTCCCGCCCCTCACAAGCGCAAATACATCAATCACAGCAGGGCTACTGATGTCTATCATTATGCTAATGAGCAGAAGCTGCTTCTCTGCTCTGTTTGTATCAGCTGGACTTCCAGCCCCAGAATTCTCAGCAGCACTTAAACATGGCTTCTCCGAATCTTGCCTTAAAGCCTCTGTGTCCAAAGTGGTGATGGTTTCATCCTTAAGGTGCAACAGGAAAAAGGAAACGAAGCTGGCGAATAGGAAGCCAACTTCAGCCTCGACCTCTTGTGAATGTAAGTATGATAACCTATATGTTTTGGTGCTCACTACCAGCTAATACTCAACAAAGGAACACGAGAGGGAGTGTGTTAACGTGAAATAACATCCCAGCTGTGACGTTAAAGTGATAACACATGACCTTGAGTGTTCTATTGCTTTTGTACAGTTAAACAAATAAAGTAAGAAATTAATAAACTGGGCTGTGAACGCGGCGTTTTATATGTTTTAATGTTCGCAGCTCCTTCTGCCAAATTATAGTTCCTTAACAACAGCTTGTTGCTTCGTCAGAGTAACGAGCTCCGCTCACTCGCTGCACAGCCAGCAGTTCGTTCTCCAGCTCCTTACACTAAATTCCCAAACTGTCATCACCACTGAGCAGCTTTTCAGTCAGTAGCTGTGACAGAAGAACAGCTGAACAACCTGGAATCAGCCAGAAATGAACCCAACACCATTCGCCAAACTAAATGGGCTGTGAGATGCTTTACAGACTGGCTGGAACAAAACAACATTAATATTGATCTGGCAAAAAAATGACAAAACTGAGCTGAACTTGATATTGTGGCAGTTTTATGGCTCAGTCCAAGTTGGTCAGACTCTGAAGACGAGACTACACGTTTGGCAAATGGTATTGGGTTAATTTCTGGCTGATTCCAGGTTGTTTAGCTGTTCTTCTGTCACAGCTACTGACTGAAAAGCTGCTCAGTGGTGATGACAGTTTGGGAATTTAGTGTCGTCTCATCTTCAGAGTCTGACTAAATCGGCTGTCGGTCAAATGTGATCTTAAAAGTATCCATTTTCTGTTTGTGGCAAAGTAAAAAGTAAAAACGTTCAAATGTCTTGAGCGTCTCCTACAGCTGTCAAAGTCGTTGCTTAGCAACGGCGTCTCAGTGGAGCGATACAGTGTTTGTGAAAATTACAGCATGGTTAGAACGCTTCTAATCAGAACTTAGAACCAATCAGCCTGCATGGCCGGAACTAACTGTTCTATAATCCCAAATAACAGACTTAAGATCTTACATTTAGAAAGTATTCATTGTTTTTTTAACATATGTGCGTTTAACAGTGAAATATTGGTGTCTCTGCTGAAGAGCTCAGCATACTTCTTGCAAAACGAAGTCAGCCATCTTTATTTCATGGCACGCCTCTTTTTTATCGACCAATCACAGGCTTTGTCGTGTAAAGTTCGCCCTCGCTCTGCAGAAGGTCTGTGGTTGTTCTTTTTCTCCGCAATTACATCAGACTGTTCGCCGAAGCCAGGCAAAGGTAGTCTCCGCAAGAGGTATGCAGAGGTCTTTAGGCTGCAAAATTGACCCCAATATTGACCCCTGATATTGAACTCTAAGGGTTCGTATGCTGGTCCACACAACTCCTCACACGTATAACTACATAACTTACATATTAGTTTCATAGTAGTGACAATAATGTACAGTAGCTACTTAATAATAAATCATAAGATTAGTAACTCAATACAGGGTTGAACTGTATTTTCATTGGAGCAGTATCTGGTTGTTTGTCTCAAGGGAACAAAGAGTTATATTTGAGTCTATATTAAACAAAATAAGATTTCAGATAATACTATGAGTCACTTGAATTTCACTGCTGTCGGAAGAAAACCTTGTATCTCCATTTTCCAGTTTTTGACATAATTTGAAAATGCCTGTTGTTCTCTACATTGTGTGTAAATTTCAGGATGAATGGACCAAAAGAAACGTCCCAAAATGGCTTGGAAAAAAGTCTGGTTCCATTGACTTACATTAAAAGTAACGTAGGATTTTTGCTTCTCCTGTAAAATGATCATTTTGGAGATACGAGGTTTTCTTCTAACAGCAGCGATGACTTTTTAATAGGCTTTAAAAAAGCGGGCACATAAAATTCAAGGTCCTGTGGTCTTCTGACCTCTTATGATTTTTCCTCCATATCTCATGCTTAAATATCTTTGCTGCAGATCATCTGCAGTAACAGCAGTGACCACATCAACACTGAAAGGGTGGGCTAAATTGTTGTAGGCTTGCTAGTCTTATGTACTTGTGTGTACTTGCGTTCAGGAATTCAACTGAGACTGTTTCCAGCGTGGTTTCCATTTACGGACTGAAGACACAGCACATCAAACACCTGAACCTGTGAACAAGAAGCTCACCTGTGAACATAGTGCAGCTGGTGCACAGAGTCGATGGCAAGCACCATCTCCGCCAGGTAGAACTTGGCCATGTCCTCGGGCAAACGGTCCTCAAACTTGCTCAGCAAGGTCAGCAGATCTCCACCAACATAGTAGTCCATCACCAAGTACTACAGAAGGATAAGACAGAGGAAGACGATGATGTAAGGGAATGTGAAAGGCTGTCACACAGACATATCTGGGGTAGTACTGTGACTATCCTCCACTGTCTTTGCTCAAAGTCCTGTACTGTCCTCCATCCTGATCATCATAAGTGACTGAATCACTGTTTTTGCCTTTCCAGCTGTAAATATGGTCACTGACAAAAACTCACCACTGTATTCACTGATTCTGCTGCTATCATCACCATTTACTGATACACTTCATTGTTTTTCCTATTCAGCTGTAATTATCATGAGAAACTCTTCCTCATTCTCACTGAAGGCTATGACACATATCATTACTCAATAAACAGAAATCACTGATGACAGTGACCTTCTTAATGAACTGACAATGATCAGTGGGCAATTTGCATCATGACAATGTTTATTTTCAAGTCTTGTACTGGTCATATACACCGATCAGGCATAACATTATGACCACCTCCTTGTTTCTATGCTCATTGTCCATTTTATCAGCTCCACTTACTATATAGGTGCACTTTGTAGTTCTACAGTTACAGACTGTAGTCCATCTGTTTCTCTGCATACTTTGTTAGCCCCCTTTTACCCTGTTCTTCAGTGGTCAGGACCCCCATGGACCCTCACAGAGCAGGTACTATTTGGGTGGTGGATCATTCTCAGCACTGCAGTAACACTGACATGATGGTGGTGTGTTAGTGTGTGTTGCGCTGGTCTGAGTGGATCAGACACAGCAGTGCTGCTGGAGTTTTTAAACACCTCAGTGTCACTGCTGGACTGAGAATAGTCCACCAACCAAAAATATACAGCCAACAGCATCCTGTGGGCAGCGTCCTGTGACCACTGATGAAGGACTAGAGGATGACCAGCACAAACTGTGCAGCGGCAGATGAGCTATCGTCTCTGACTTTACATCTACAAGGTGGACTGACAAGGTAGGAGTGTCTAATAGAGTAGACAGTGAGTGGACACAGCGTATAAAAACTCCAGCAGCACTGCTGTGTCTGATCCACTCAGACCAGCACAACACACACTAACACACTCACTCCACTCACTTTACCTCCTATGATGAAAATAATGTTATTGTATTAATGATAGTAACAAATTCATTCTAATGAATCTTATTTTGTCCACTTGTATAACTATTACAAACTGCACTGCTTTTTAAATTAAAAAATATTTCTTTGAGGTAAAATTTGAGCAAATTAACCAGCATTAAAAGATGAAGTGATAAACTGTGATTGTTTATAATTATGTTAAGTCTTTGGCCTATTATTTTTTTTAATAACACAGTTTAGATTTCATAGTTTATTCAATAAACTGTTTAGGAATATGTAGAAGGTCATGCACTTTTTTTTGGTTCAGTTAAAGTCAATATTTTTATTCGGGCAATTTTGAGCAAATCAGACAAACGCGGTTAATCACACTTACACAAGAGAATGCATTTAATCACGGTTAACCATATTAATAATTTAACAGCCTTATTATTTTTATTAAAGTAGTTCGCTTCCCTAGTTTATCCTTCTCCAATTCAGTGTTTCGGAATCTGTGAAATGTCGTAACTAACAATATATCACTGTTTGTTACCTGTCAGCTTCAAAGTCAGCATTTTTGTTTGAATTTCATGAGAATCTTGACCAATCATCAAAACAACTGGTAGATTACTCGATTCCTAACACACTCAATACTGACAGTCCTAGTTGGCATCATCGAGAACTTCCATTCCTCCCTTCTTTTCTCTTTCCTTTCTCTTTTTCTCTCGTCAGAACAGCCCAATTCCGTGCCTGGCTGTAAAGTCCACCACCTCCAGTATGACCTTTACAGGTCCATCATTCTTCATGCCTCAGTCGAGGTTCAATCCAGGAGAAGAATAAACTCTCATCCACTGCAGCTGCACCGAGCTACCTGCCACTTCCCATTCGCCCACTCTCCTGTCTCCTGTCATTCCCTTAAACCCACATGCTCACTATCTGCTTCACTCTCACTCCCTCACTGGCTGAACCGTCCATCTTAAACCTCTCTCATCCTCTCAACTCGCTCTCTTCTTTACCATCTCACTCAACAGGAGTTTCACAATTAAGTGTATATCAGTCAATAATGCTATTACAGCCTCCACAACTGTGAAAGGCTGTGATTAACGCAGGATTCAGTTGCAAAACACTGCATCGTCAGTTAAATGATGAACCAGGAAATACTAGGGACACATGATATATCAGCGGGTGATATATTATTAGCTGATGCATGGAAAACTTTAATCATTATCAGACCAAAATTACAGCTACAGACGATAATTACAACCAATGTAGATCTCTGTTTTTTAGCTTGCACACGCAGTGTAGTCACGACTCAATCTAGAGCTGGGGTTTTTTTTTCAAAGCACTCAAATGCATAGAATTGTGAATAATATCACTACCCTTCACACTGTCTTTGCCCCAACTGTACCATAACATATTTCTCACCAACCACTGCAAACATTAGCTGTAACCAATGTATTTACAAGGGCTGTCAAAAGAGTAAAATAAAGTGATCACTTTTGTTTTATTTGATCAAATTCGCCTTAAAGAAAGATTTTTACATGTAAAAAGGCCATGCATGCTGATGTAGCTATGTACGTGGACAAAATATGCTTTGCCAGAATGTATTTATTACTTTTCATAATTCAGCAGTGTTATTTTCATCATGAGGACTAGGGACGTGCACGAGGACTCAGCTAAGGTTGAGGTGCCAGTACTGAAATCACTATTCAGGTGACCTTTTCATTTTATCACGGAAAGACAGAGAAAATATACAAACAAACAGTTTGGCGAAATGCTGATTTAACAATATAGTGTAATATGGCGAGTTTCCTCGTATTCGCGAGTATTTATGGTTATTACACTTAGCTGCTATGAAACGCGACCGCCTTAACGCTAAGTTAACTACTCTAGTTGGTGTTAACTCAGTCCAGAAACAGTGAAAATATATTTCATGACAAATTAACATGTTGGCACACTGTCCACCTGTAAGAAGACAGTTCAGTGCCAGTAGGCCCTCCTAGTTCATTATCTCCTCTGATGAGGCAGCCTCTGTTACTCATCCGACATGAAAACCTACCCATTTCCCTTGGCTATTTTCTAAAATGTTTTCCTTTGTGTGCTGCTAATTTTTAATGTAACACCAGAGCTGTCACCTAAACAGATAAGCCCACGGGCCTTTGATGTCGGCCAAAGTCTCGTTTTGTGTTTCCTTGGTTAACAGATTATTCACTCATTTGTTAGTTAGTTTACTTTGGTTACTTTGCTGCCTGTTGATTTATCCATAGGTCTCCTATGATCACCGCCCATCACAGTCTGCTGACAGAGCTTCAAAAGCCATTTAAAAGCTGCATTTAAACTAAAGGGCTTCATTCTGGACTACTCTAGTGGTTCAAAGAGTCAAATTAACAAAATGCATTAATAGCATTTAAAAAAATTAGTGGAGTGGATAATTTATTACAATATCGACATGATATTAACATGATATTAATGTGCTGTTAACATGTTGTTAACATGTCACAGCCCTAGCATATAAAATAAATATTTGCGTGGAATAGGGGTTCCCAACCTTTTGCAAGCCTCAACCCACAAAACAACCACAAAAGGTTCCGCAGCCCACAAGAAGATTTTACTGATCTCCTGATTTTTTCTAACTCACCTAATAGCAGCGGATTTTGTTTGGCAGCTACCAAATCCTAAATTAATAAATTAGTAGATAAGTGTATAAATGTATTGCTTTCTTGCTATTTATTGTTAACGTGTTAAATTTGACAGCCCTAGTATTTAAAATAAATACTTCCGTAGAATAGGGGCTCCCCATCTATTGCAAGTTACACAAACAACCACAAAAGGTTCTGTAGCTCGCAAGATTTTATCGATCTTATGATTTTTACTGACTTAATAGGAGCAGACTTTGTTTGGTAGCTGCCAAGTGCTGGATGTCAAGTTGTCAAGATGTCAATTCGACATGTTTAGATACACATTCTCTATGTTTAGACAGTGTGAACTGTTGCCTTACAAAGCTTCACTTGAAAAGACCTGTGAGCACACAGCCCAGAGCGGACGTTACTCGTGTTTAGTTTTCACACAAGTGAAGTTCAGCAAACGCTACTCACTGCTGTATTTTCTACGTTTCGGTTTATGCTTGGTTTGCTCGTTTTGAGATCTGAGATACGGTGACCATATTAGATTAAAATTAAGATGAAGTGACCCTTATTAGTCCCACAATGGGGAAATTTCACCTCCGCATTTTAACCCATCGTGCAGTGAAGCACCACATACACACTAGGGGGCAGTGAGCACACTTGCCCGGAGTGGTGGGCAGCCCTATCCATGGCACTCGGGGAGCAGTTGGGGGTTAGGTACCTTGCTCAAGGGCACTTCAGTCACATACTGTCGACTCAGGGGATCAAACCGGCAACCTTCCGGTCACAGGGCTGGTTCCCTAACCTCCAGCCCATGACCGCCCCCATATAGTTAGTAGTTGGTTCAGACATACAATGAGCTGTGTATACATAGGAAGCATTGTTTTTGCAAATAATCAATAAAAATTCTGATATTCATCATTAAAATTAAAAAAATAAATAAATCTTTCAAGTCTTAATATATATAGACTATGGTGTGAAATTGTTTTAAACCCCTCCCACACACAAAAAAAACTTATCAATTACTGGTTTTACTATCAGATACAGCAAGATGTTAATCAGTCATCACACAAGATTCGACATTCATGCATACCTTCAATTTCCACCTCTTTTTTTAGCAATAAAAAGTGAGTCTTTGTCTAAACATCATTACAAATAATCACACTTATTAGCTGCTGAGATCGTGCTGCTCTAACTCATGCAGATGATCTATAACACAGTATCGTTTCTTCCTCACTGCTCCATATATAAACACAGACACAGGAAAATGTGTCTCACCCAGCAGGGGTCTGAGACAGCTAAACACACACTGCCAGCTGTGAGATCATTTCCCCTCAAACGTTCTGTCTACCACAGCAGATTCACGAACAACACCATCTTTCCAATTCCAAAGCTTATCTGTCATGAACAGGCAGAAAGTAAGCTATATGTACCCCTTTCAATGCTTCCACTGAACTGTCTGGCTGTAATGCAACCAAATATGCGGGGCAGAACGTCCCCGGACAGATTTGCTGCTGTGCTCTTCTGTGCTGTATAATATCTACACAGTAGGCTGTGAAAACGCGTCTGAATGTGGAGATTCAATGGCACTGAAAGGCGACACATACATGCCAAATTACCTTTCACTGGTATTTTAAAATGTAAGTCCACAATAAAGAAGCATATTGATTTAATGACCAGATTTCACTACTGTGTGAACAGCTCAACCGGTCACATCTGTAGATCAAGTGCTTTTACATAATAATGAACATTTTTATAAATTATCTAATCAGATGAAAACCGTAATCGACACCGTGCCACACTGTATGAAGTGGACCTATCATAATTATTACATCATCGCTCGATCACAATTATCTGATCTGATTACAAATATGTAAGGCGACTGTTCTTACATTCCACAGCTGTTAGCTTTTACAGTCAAATGTTGTTACGGCACACCAAACAAAGCATTTTCATCTGTTGGGCTGAGACAAATGCATGTAAACAAAAGACAACAGAAAATGATTTTACTGAGACACAATGGGTCGTACAAAAACAACTTCAGACCGGTGCTGTAACACCTTTAGAGGGCAGTAGTGAGTAACGTCCGTTTGAGCTGGAGCTCTGACTTCAGATAGGAGCTACTAAGTATCGACAGCGAGGAAGCAAAATCAGCTGATCAGCCAATTTTGCCACTTTAGATTTAAACTTTAACAGTTACATAAAAGTCAGACAGCAAACAAATAGAGTTAAACTGTTAACTGCAACTGTTAAAGGGGAACTCCACCAATTTTGCAAAATTACTTAATCATTCAATGGTTTAGATGTGAACAAAATCATTCAGAGTGGTTCGGTGTGAAATGCGCCTTTCTAGAGAAGTTTATCAAGGCAGAACTGTTCGCCATTACAGTACTAGGAACCAGACGTCTGAAGCATTTAATGGGTTTAAAGGCTACAACCCGTTATGTTATTACAAAAACCGGTTATAAATGCATTGCTTGATACCTGAGACATTGTTTCGTGGTAGTTTTGTTGTAAGGTTTTGGCACAAAACTTATTTTTAGGAAAAAATATTACTCCAGAATTACTGTTTCCTCTCAAAACCGGATTCTCAACAGAGATCAATGCACACAAGCTAACGTGCTTTTATAGTTACTAGCCTGTAGCTACAGCCTTTCAACATGGATAACGCCAATTAGGCATCGTAAAGTGAAAAATTAAGCACTATTTTACTATTATCAGCAAGACATATAGACCTTTTAAGACACAGGTAAGTTCACTGGACATTTTTTTAATAGTAGATAAAATGGTCATATTTGTAGTGAAGACATACGGACGTCTGGTTCCTAGTACTACAACGGTGAACAATTTTGACTCTGTAAATTTCTCTAGAAAGCATTTCACACCAAAACCACTCTGAATGATTTTTACATCTAAATAATTAAGTGATAAAGTAATTTTGCAAAATTGGTGAAGTTCCCTTTTAATATGGCAATTAATCCTCAGCTTTAAACTTTTATGCTCGTGACAGGCCTATGCTGAGGTCAGCATTGCTGTGAGTACTGACTATGTGCAAATAAGTCAACAAGATCAGCTGCTGTCGAAAGAAAATCTTGTATCTCCATTTTTGTTGTTTTTCAGTTTTTACATAATTTAAAAATGCTTGTTGCTTTTTACATTGTATGTAAATTTCATGAAGAATGGCCCAAAATGACCTGGAAAAAAGTCTGGTTCCACTGATTTACATTAAAAGTAAAGTAGGTTTTTTCCTTCTCCTATAAAGTTACCACTTTGAAGATACGAGGTTTTCTTACAAAAACAGCGATATATATATACACACACACACACACACACACACACACACACACACACACACACACACAAAAGAACAAATGTTGCCTGTCCAAACGTTACATTATATTTTATGTTTTAATCTTTTTCATTCTGAATCTAGATATAGATCTATTTTTACTTGAAAAATCAAGAAACATGTCATTTGACCACGGGTGTTCAAACTGCATATGCATATGACTGTAAGGGCATTAAACTGTACTTTGCGCAAGTGCCTTAACACAAACGCGTTGCCTAGGGCGTCTCATGGCCTAGGACATGACTGAAGGCAGAAATAGCACAAACAGCTCTGGCTCGTCTTTTTCGGTAACTACTCCAGCTGACATTAGCGAGGTCTAGAACCAATGAAAACATATTTCTCCAACAAATTAACACGTTGGCACGTCGTCCACTGGGGAGAAAAGACCTTGTGCAGAAGTCGACCCTCATCAGCGTCCAACACTGTACTGATAAGTCATCTGAAGAGGCAGCTTTCATTACTTATCCAAAACAACCTTCTGTTTTCCTTCGGCTATTTTAGAATAATACAACTTTTGCAAATATATTCCTCTGCACGCTGCTAAATGTTTGTGCTACTGATGTCTCTTAACCTTGTGCCATCATCTAAAAAAAGTGCAGTCCCGCCCACCCCAATCAAAATCACACGGAGTTCCTCACCAAGTTGTTTTCATCCTGGAAGGCATAATGCAACGTGGTGATCCACTGGCTGTCCCCGTTCACCAGCACATCCCTCTCCTCCCGGAAGCACGCCGTCTGAGAAATGAGGTGGAACATGTCATAGGAAGTCATTTCTCACAGTTATGAGTGTACAGCCCACTTCTTAGGCGGACCCCCAGATAACCAGCGATTCTTTAATCTTTCACCTGTACGAAATGGAGTCACATGCTTATGGAGCAAAACACATTTGTTGTTTTTAACAGTTTCCCATGCCATGAATGAAAGACAGAAGAGGTAGTGCTGTCCTGCGGGGATGAAGGACGACACCCCAGGAGAATAACGAACACGGATGAATGAACTGAACACGTCAATGGGAAAAGCACATTGGCAATAGGTCTAAAAACCAAAACATTCCTAGGAAAAATTCTTTCTGTGGCTTAGAGTCACGTCAGTTGGATGGAATTCTAATCTGAAAACGTTGCCCACCTCAGCCCTCTTGAGCATCTCCCATTTGTTGAGGATCTTCATGGCAAACACTTTGTCCGCATTCTTGACCTTCACAACGGCCACCTGTGAACAAGAGCGTCTTTAGTGGTAATAAAAACTCAAAGAGACAAACAAAGTGAGCACATTTCTAACCATCTGCAACATCCTCTCAGCCTAGATCACAAAGAGGCCACAAACCTTGGGGAGAACTTTTGTTGGTAAGTTCCACCACAAAGTGTTCCTCAAAGAACGTAAAGTTTAGATCTGTTTATGACCACAAATAGAAAGAAGATGGAAGCTTATGGAGCTGAACATGAATGTGATTCTAACTCCAAGAAACTTCTCTCCATGTGAGGCCACTCATAAGCAAGGTCTACGATATCAATGGGAAACAGTCTTTGAACAGCCCTTTACAAGGATATGAATTTGAAAATGATGTTTTCAGCAACAAAAATGAAGAAAGATTTGGTTACACTTTATTTGAAGTCTACTTACCCAGGGTCATCATAACTCGTACTTAAAAATTAAATAACATTTCATAAAGCAACACTTGACTATTTAGGTACAATTTATGGTCACAAGATGACATATTTTATAAGGTAAATGAACTTGTATTGACACAAGAGGCCTTAAACTGAAATTACATATTTCCTCCTTCAATAAAACTTTTACGAAGCATAGTTCCCAAGTAAATTCAACTTTTAAGGCAGAGGCCTAGATAAGACCACCATACACCGAGCAGGCACAACATTATGACCACCTCCTTGTTTCTATACTCATTGTCCATTTTATCAGCTCCACTTACTACAGACTGTAGTCCATCTGTTTCTCTGCATACTTTGTTAGCCCCCTTTTACCCTGTTCTTCAGTGGTCAGGACCCCCGTGGACCCTCACAGAGCAGGTACTATTTGGGTGATGGATCATTCTCAGCACTGCAGTAACACTGATGTGGTGGTGGTGTGTTAGTGTGTGTTGTGCTGGTACGAGTGGATCAGACACAGCAGTGCTGCTGGAGTTTTCCACTCACTGTCCACTCTATTAGACACTCCTACCTTGTCAGTCCACCTTGTAGATGTAAAGTCAGAGACGATAGCTCATCTGCTGCTGCACAGTTTGTGTTGGTCATCCTCTAGTCCTTCATCAGTGGTCACAGGACGCTGCCCACAGGACGCTGTTGGCTGGATATTTTTGGTTGGTGGACTATTCTCAGTCCAGCAGTGACACTGAGGTGTTTAAAAACTCCAGCAGCACTGCTGTGTCTGATCCACTCAGACCAGCGCAACACACACTAACACACCACCACCAAGCAGCGTTACTGCAGTGCAGAGAATGATCCATCACCCAAATAGTATCTGCTCTGTAATTGTAGAACTACAAAGTGCACCTATATAGTAAGTGGAGCTGATAAAATGGACAATGAGCGCAGAAACAAGGTCATAATGTTATGCCTGATCTGTGTGTATCAATTCTATATATTTCTGTCTAAATTAAAGTACAATGTCTATTAAGGAGACCTGTGTAACCACATATGTCCTGATTTGCCCCCCAAATCCCCATCCCACATTGTCAGCTATGAGTCTATTCCAATCTTTGTGCTCCAGCTGCACAATTTAGGTAAAATATGCTAGACTGCCAATTATTACTACAGTAAAATGAACCCTATTTTCAGTATGTGCATGTCCTATTCTGGACTTACATTTGAGATTTTTGCCTGATTTTATCACAATGATCATTATATAGCGTGTTTAATATTTACTTACGATCCAGTTTATTGACCCTGATGATTACGCTTCCGGCTACTTTAACATGCAGTAAAATCTTTGTATAAAATGGTATAGCTATTCTTTTGTGGACTACTTAATAATAATCATTTTATAGTGCTGTGAATACATTATGATCTCACATTGCTCTAATGTACATGCAGCAGCTGCTCCTTTCTCTCAGTTTTGAACATACTGTTCCTGCTATCGCAGGTTCAAAATCAGAAGCAGCACGGCCGTTACGGCAGAACGGTTCTGAGATAGTTTTGTTTTCAACCAGTCATGACTCGCAAGAGAAAAACTTGGTGACAGTGTATTTTGTACACGGTTTTGGCAGCATGCCACTCACAAAAAATGGAAGAAAACAGAGAAAATGGGTGTGCGCTCGCATTTTACATGGCCGGTGTTTAGATGACAGGCAGTTAGTTCAAACACAGTAGAGACAGGCACTGTAGAAATATCTTAATATATTACAAGTTTTCATCTCCCACCTTAAAGCAGCCCCAGACTGCGGCCATTTACCACTTTGTTACTGTTTTGTTTTAAGACAAGTGTCAGTGCTGCAGGCTGTGAATGATGTGTGTTTACGACAGCAGAGTAAATAGCTCAAAGATCCAAACTGGATCAATCTTAGCCGAAACCTGACCCATTAAAATGAGCCTGGACACCCCTAAAATGTAACATCTCTAACAGCAAAATATGAGAAATTCTCAGACATTTTATTACCCTGAATTTTTCACATTTATTTTATGACTTTAAAAACTTCTGAATGATCCACAGGAACCTTGTTAACAAGACCTCTGCCGTATATGCTCTATTGCTTAGGAATGATGCTTCACAACAGCAGCATAAATGGACCAAATGTCCGTCACTTCAGTTTAAGGGCCTGAAGACTGCAATTTGCAGGCAAAACGGTAGGTCACTTCTAGCCTTCATAACTTCAGAACGGTTTAAGCTACAGACATGATACACATATCGGACCTTTCAGCAAGACCCAGTGCTAACTAGCCAGCATGATATCATCGAGCGTGACGTCAGCATCAGCGAGTAATTCAGCTCAGAAAATCACCCAAAATCCTGATACCATTGCTCTGCTTTTTGCCCTTCATATTCCAACAAAGGGTTAAAACAGCGACATGATTCACACATCAGGTCACTCATCAGACTCTGCTTCACCATCCAGAGTGATTTCATCCACCTGTGACCATCAATCAGCCAGCAATCCAACTTCAACATCATCCAAACCCCACTCACTACTGTTATACTACATCTCCGCTCTTAGCCTTCATATTATAAACAAAGGGTTAAAATAGCGACATGATTTACACACCAGAACACTCAGAGGAACCTGACCTCACCAGCCAGAGTGAGAGAAACCAGCTCTAACATCACACAACCCAGAAATACAGCACAATCACAGCCATTACCACTGTAAAACCTGCTATTAGCTCTCTGCTTTAGCCTTCATTTGGCAACTAAAGGGTTAAGGCCCTTTATGACGATACAATGTCACTGACTTCAGAAAACATTTAATGTCATCTTGCGAATAGAGTCGTAAGCTGTTCACAAAGCTGTGGCTTTATAGATCCATTATTCAACACTTTCGAATGTATCACAAAGTCCCTACATTGGTAGCCGTGACATACAGTGTTCCCAACTACTCTTATGTGTCAGAATGGAAGGAGAATAAAGTTCTTCCACCATAAAACCAAATCATCACTGCAGGTTCCACTGCCTGCTGGAATACTAACACTGCAAAACATCGAGACACAAGACCAGGCCTGCAGCCGAGAAGGACTGAAATGTCTTCACGCTGTCACCTCTGGAAGCAGCAACTCCACTGCTAAGGTAACACAACACTAATGCTCTGGCAACGTTTCTGTTCTCCTCACTGTGATTCGATCAGGGAGGGAGCACAGCGCTCTTGGCTGTGTTTTCCCAGTGCTGGAATAGCCTTCAGCATTTGTTCTTCTATCAGGGATGTAAACTATTAACCGGCAACCGGCAAGTAAATAGATGTTCGACCAAGTTTGACTAAGAAAAGAGAACTTAATTATATAACAATAGTTCATATTTGCATAGGTGAGTTTATCATGCAAATGAGGAACTACAGTAATGGCCTATAGAGAAAAGCAAGCAGTAATGAAACGTTATTCATTTGTATCAGAGAAAAGCAGCTTAGAACTGGAGTTCCTCAATTCAGCAAGATGCCAACTACAGAATGATACATGACATCAGAGGTCTATATGCACCAACTGACCATCTCATTAAGTTTCTACTCTACTCTCTCCATTTTATCAGCTCCACTGACCACATAGGTGCACTTTGTAGTTCTACAGTTACAGACTGTAGTCCATCTGTTTCTCTGCATACTTTGTTAGCCCCTTTTTACCCTGTTCTTCAGTGGTCAGGACCTCCATGGACCCTCACAGAGCAGGTACTATTTGGATGGTGGATCATTCTCAGTAACACTGATGTGGTGGTGGTGTGTTAGTGTGTTGCGCTGGTACGAGTGGATCAGACACAGCAGTGTTGCTGGAGTTTTGAACACTGTGTCCACTCACTGTCCACTCTATTAGACACTCCTACTCAGCTGGTCCACCTTGTAGATGTAAGGTCACAGACAGTAGCTCATCTGCTGCTGCACAGTTTGTGTTGGTCATCCTCTAGTCCTTCATCAGTGGTCACAGGACGATGCTGGCTGTATATTTTTGGTTGGTCGACTATTCTCAGTCCAGCAGTGACACTGAGGTGTTTAAAAACTCCAGCAGCACTGCTGTGTCTGATCCACTCAGACCAGCGCAACACACACTAACACACCACCACCACCACATCAGTGTTACTGCAGTGCTGAGAATGATCCACCACCCAAATAGTACCTGCACTGTGAGGGTCCATGGGGGTCCTGACCACTAAAGAACAGGGTAACAAAGTATACAGAGAAACAGATGGACTACAGTCTGTAACTGTAGAGCTACACAGTGAACTTATACGGTAAGTGGAACTGATAAAATGGACAAGGAGTGCAGAAACAAGGAGGTGTACTGAAAGTGGCCGGTTGCTGTATATGTTATAATAAATTTTATGATATAAAAGTGTAAAGACTCTAAATGTACATGTAGGGACAACACAAGATTTTAGGAGTCTACTAACAGTGTGCAAATTTTAGTCTCAGTCCAGCACCTGTTCAACATTCTCAAAGTGCTTGTGTTTCATCACGTTTCACTAAATATGAACATAAACGTGAACTGCAGTAAACCTGTACTTGTTTTGATTGGCGAGTGTCATTCCAGGATTCAAACAGCCACACCTAGTATCACATGAACGCTTAGTCATTTGAAAATCGCTCCGTGACTTTCAAATGAGCTCTGTTTGAACTCCAGTTTGCATAGTTCTCAAACGTGCACAGAGTAGAGGAACCGAAGATCAGTTTTGCTCCCTTTTGCTTTGTAATCATTATAATTCGCTAGATCTGGTGGGAGAGACGGATTGAGGCTTTACACCCCAACACCGCCTAAGACGTTTGCTAAAAATGGACGCCAATTCAGAACCTAGGGTCGCGCAAACATACCAATCCAGCTTCAGCTTTCCGCCTCATTTAATCCACCAGGAGGTTAAGTATAACTGGTCCCAAACTAAACCTGCCTTTCATTTCCCTGCGCTTTTTCCCACAGCTTCACTTCCTTTATCGTGCTGTTCTGGAAATGGCCTCACGTCTTACACAAAAAAAGAAAAGTTTATGCTGGGTTTCCATGAGCGGCTGATTCCAGCTGGATAGCACCGAGAAGGCCCGGGGACGGAAAAGCACAGCGGGTCTGACTGGAATTTTGCCTTTAAGGGAGGAGACTCAGCTCACTGAAGGGCTCAGCTAGTTACGAAACAGACAGGAACAACACGCAATTTGTCATTCTTCTCAAACACGTTCAGTTGTCTATAGAACAATAACAGACACTGTTGAATGGAACATTTTAGAGATGTTACAATTAATCAACTATTTAAAAAAAAAAATCAAGCATTGAAATTTTATAGTAGGGCTTATTTCCCACTGCGTAAGGTGACAATGCATATTTTAAATTCTACTCATTTATTGTCACATAGTGTTTATTATTATTTTAAAGTATTAATAAGGATTCCTAGTTTATTGTCTTCCAATACAGCACAGCATACGCAAAAGGATCTGCATGCTTTGTTATCATTCGATTAAGTCCACTTTTTGTTGTTTGGGTTCCGGAAAAAGCTCTTATTACGTGATGAATCATCAGAATGTTTGGCTCAGTATATAAATCAACAGTAACAGCCCTAATCAGACGCAAGCCGTTCAATCGTTTGGAGCTGCGCTTGATGTGGGCAGGCAGCTGGTGTACTGCACACTTTCAGCTGGAAGGTTTTTTTTTTCTGTTTAAAAAGGCAGAAATCTGCAGGCTTCGATTCTGACCACAATGACAGAGGCTTAAGATCCCCTCCGTCGTTAAAGCGACTCATCGGGCGGAGCTGGCACGGGTCGGGTGGCATGAAGCCGCTTTCTCGGTCACCATGAAATAAAACTCCAATAAAAAGGTCTGTTAAGCAAGCCATGGGGGTTTTAGCACCGGGCTCCTCTCCAGACCTCCCTCTAGTTCAAAGGGCCAACGCTGAACGGCCAAGGCCTTGGCGTGTAATCCAATAGCACCGGCTTTCTTGGCATGCTTACCTGTCTACCAAACATTCCCCTGTGACTACATCACGTTTGGTGACATTACGAAAATGCCTCGACTGCCTGAGGCTCTTTTGTACACGTACTGCATGAGAAAAGCCTTTAACCCAACAACCAGTTCAACGTGGAAAGGAAATTCACACACTCAACCGCTCTTCTAGAAAACAGACTCAGGAACTGTACCCACCATGCTTAATTAACGTCATACCGCATTATCATTTTAGCATATGACATCTGCATTTCAAACTTCAAACTTGCTTGAAAATTAGTAAATACCACACCTGTGACATTCTGAGGCCTATCCACACCTATCTGGATATCTGTGAAAGTTTTTTTCTCTGCATTTTTGTGCTAAAACTATGTTTTTTTTTTAATATTCAGATATGGAGGCCTAAACTGACCAGGCAGGTTTCTGTATGCACTACTAGATGATGATATGGACCATCATTCTCTATATATTTCATTTTTCTTCCCAATTTTCTCCCCAGTTGAGTCACTGCCAAGTTCATCTGCGAGTCAGATCTCCTGCCTTATCTCATAATGACAGACCAAAAGCTTAGACGGGAGCACCACTGGGAGTCTAACGTTCTGCAGATTTCTAAATTATAGCTGCGCAGGAAAACATTCAAAACGACTTGAAAATAAAGAGAGGAAGACCCTTAAGGCACCTATCTGGTCTCATTCAGAGTAAAGCAAAGCCAATATTTACAATGGTCTGCAGTCTTACGTAATTGGGTTAACGTATAGTTTGCTGTTATGAAATTACTATCCTTAAGCATGTTTGGCTGTTTTTCTTTATGCTGTATTTTAATACGATTCTCTGAGGAATAATGAAGTTGTTTACATGGCCCAACCAGCTCTGAATGCTACGGTGGCCTTTATGAGATGCAGAGGTCTTGTTATGGGAATTGAAATAACTCCGAGAATGTGTTGCACGCATACCTCTCCAAACGCTCCTCGGCCGATCACTTTCAGGATCTCAAAGTCCTCTTTACGCAGGCGCATCTGCTTCACTTTGGAGGTGAAGGGTTTGGCTGTAGAAACAAAGACAAGACAACATAAGCAAGACTTTACACCAATGGAAACACTGGTAAAATAACTAAAATGAATGAAAGTGGATTCATGTCTAGCATTACAAAGCTGACTTGTTAAAGGAACAGTCTTGTTTTGCACTGGAGGCTAACAGAAGCATATAAGTAATTAATTTAAAAACTATTTGAGAAAACGTGATGCAGTTTGAGGCAGGTGTCTGATTATTTAGGTCTCCTAGTGGAATATTAGCTTCCATTAGTTATTAGCTACATATTGGCCTCATTGTTCCAAAGGTTCTGGACATAAACTAACTAACAAATATTTGATTGATTTAGAGGTTTAGGCCCAATCCCATTTCACCCCTCGCCCCTGCAACTTAGCCTTTAGCCCTCTGTTTTGCGCGTTCACGTCTAGGGGTAGGGTGTCCCAATTTTTGTTGAGATAGAGGGGTAGAGTGAAGTGTTAGGGCTACATGGCCCTCCAAACGGAGGTTTTTCAGAGTCACATTGCAAACAGAGAGTTATGAGGAAAAAAAGAAAAAACGGCAAGACGACTGAACAAGAGACCAAAGAAACCCACAAATGTCAGAATTTTCCCCCGTTATAAAAATTACGATAACCACTGTATTAACTTAGTTTAATGTTGTTTCAGTGTATTATCGTCGTTTTCTTCATAACAAGCATAAAAATCGCTAATCGCATGCTAATGTCTCGGTAGCTATCTAGCTAACTTTCCCGTTCCACCTTAAATAGTCCAGCAGTTCTGACGCCTGAACCGCCAGAATGTAACTGCTGCACCATTTAAGGTGAAACTGGAAAATTTGAACAAGAAGCTGGTGAATATCTGACTTCAGCTTCATATCACCAATGAATTAGTGGTGGGCGATAATAAATAATTGCCCTCCTCTTTGAAAGCATATGATGCCCTAAATGTAACTAAAGCCCAGCAGTGAGGAGCTGAACTTTACCCTCCTCTGCTGTCACTGAAGATGGGCTGGTTGACATACAGAACAGCGCTAGTAGCTGTTAATGAAGTAACGTTTTGTTTATTTGAGGGTCCCATTTCTTAGGGCAAGATTTCAACCACTACCCCTTGTAACTCAGTTCCAAGGGGTTATGGTGACACTCGAAAACAAGGGGTAGGGGTAAAAAGAAGAAATGGGATTGGGCCACAGTGTACACTTTATGTAGAATGGCGTCTGCCTTTTTTGCCAGGGTGGAGCAAAAATGAGGCAATTATGGGAAAATGGAAGTCAGTTTAGCTAATGTAAGCTAGATATATAATGTCTGTTTCTACATCTGTGAGTGCTAAGCAACATTATGTTGACTGTGTAGCAGTTTCTCCATTTAGTTATTTTCAGAAAGTAAACACTACAGTTTGACGTCTTGTTGTTTACTGCTTGACGCTCCCAGGATTTGGTTCACCTAACTGAACTCAAAAAGAAGCAAAATTAACCCCTACTGGACATGAACTCTAATATCTACTCAACTGAATCGGCTTTTCCACCAGGCAAATTTTAAGAGACATACATTTAAGTATAGCTGGGATTAAGATGAACACATGCGAACACAAGAACATTCCAAGAAACCCTCCATCGTCCACTCTGCCGAACCAATAAGTGACACATGCAAAACATCCCTTCTCTGGACAACCAAACAAGACCCTTCCAAAGCAATGTGGCTCTGGCTGCAAACACATGGATTTCCAATCTGAATGGATGTGCAGAACATTAGCACACTGGACACAGCAAAGTCAACTTGGGTTAGCATTGACATCACTTATATTAGTGATAATTAAAAGTTTTACTTTAGTCCTATTCTGTCAGCAATACACCAATCAGGCACAACATTATGACCACCTCCTTGTTTCTACGCTCATTGTCCATTTTATCAGCTCCACTTACTGTATAGGTGCACTTTGTAGTTCTACAGTTACAGACTGTAGTCCATCTGTTTCTCTGCATACTTTGTTAGCCCCCTTTTACCCTGTTCTTCAGTGATTAATAGATCAATGGATGTTCGACCAAGTTTGACTAAGAAAAGAGAACTTAATTATATAACAATAGTTCATATTTGCATAGGTGAGTTTATCATTCAAATGAGGAACGTTTCTGAATTGTACAACTAGTTGCACTAGCCTACTTTAACAAATGAAGCATAGAGAGAACAACAGTACCACTACAGTAATGGCCTATAGAGAAAAGCAAGCAGTAATGAAATGCTATTCATTTGTATCACAGAGAAAAGCAGCTTAGAACTGGAGTTCCTCAATTCAGCAAGATGCCAACTACAGAATGATACATGACATCAGAGGTCTATATGCACCAACTGACCATCTCATTAAGTTTCTACTCTACTCTCTCCATTTTATCGCTCCACTGACCACATAGGTGCACTTTGTAGTTCTACAGTTACAGACTGTAGTCCATCTGTTTCTCTGCATACTTTGTTAGCCCCCTTTTACCCTGTTCTTCAGTGGTCAGGAACCCCACAGGACCTTCACAGAGCAGGTACTATTTGGGTGGTGGATCATTCTCAGCACTGCAGTAACACTGATGTGGTGGTGGATCAGACACAGCAGTGCTGCTGGAGTTTTTAAACACTGTGTCCACTCACTATCCACTCTATTAGACGCACCTGCGTTGTTGGTCCACCCTGAAGACATAAAGCCAGAGACGATAGCTCATCTCTTGCTGTACAGTATGAGCTAAGCATCCTCTAGTCCTTCATCAGTGGTCACAGGACGCTGCCCACAGGACACTGTTGACTGGATATTTTTGGTTGGTGGACTATTCTCAGTCCAGCAGTGATATTGAAGTGTGTGCTTTAGGGTATTATTTTGCACAGCAATGCCCTGCATGCATCTCTCTACCATGATCAGATTCGAAAAAAAAAACAAACATTTTAGGTAAAAACTTTATCTCAAAACTATCTCAGGCATCAGTCAACATACCTGGAACCATTTCATATGATAGCTTTCTATGAGGTAGCTTTTAGAGCCATTGCATGCTTTGGGCACCAGGGGCCAAGTCTGAGATCATATCTTATCTGCTTTGTTGTCATGGCGAGTTAAGAATGAAGTTAGGACAGAAGCCATTTAAGCACGTTGTGTTCTATTGCTTTTATACAACAGTTAAATAAATAAAGTAATAAATTAATAAACTGGGCCGTGAACGCAGCGTTTAATATGTTTTAATGTTCGCAGTTTCTTCACCAAATTATAGTTCCTGAACAAGCAGCTTGTTGCCACGTGAGAGTAACGAGCTCCGCTCACTCGCTGCACAGCCGGCAGTTCGTTCTCCAGCTCCTTACAGTAAATTACCAAACTGTCATCACCACTGAGCAGCTTTTCAGTCGGCAGCTGTGACAGAAGAACAGCTAAACAACCTGGAATCAGACACCAAACGTGTAGTCTGATCTTCAGAGTCTGACCATATCGGACTGAGCTATAAAACTGCCGCAATATCAAGTTCAGCTCAGTTTTGTCAATTTTTCCTAGATCAATATTAATGTTGTTTTGTTCCAGCCAGTCTGTAAAGCATCTCACAGCCCATTTTGTTTGGCGAATGGTATTCAGTTCATTTCTGGCTAATTTTGAAAATCAATTTCTTTATTTTCTTTAAAGCACCTCTAGGGAATCAAAAGTGGTTCCAGTGCCATGCAAGCCCAGCACTCTGAGGAGCAACAGATCGTGGGAACTGAGGATGGCGGGGGCTGATATCAGGCCAACGGTGTGATAAGGAGAAAAGTCGGCAGCCTTTTATCCACATCAAGCATACAAATACAAGGCCAACGCCTCTTGCTTGTAACTCATCTATTATCATCATCATCACTTTTATTTATACAGCGCCTTTCCCATGCTCAATGACGCTTTACGATCAAAGAACATCAACACATTAAACAACAACAAAAGGACAATACAGGTAAACATTCAAGTGTAAGCGGAACACAGACAACACAGTGAAAACAAGTACGTTTTTAACAGAAATTTGAATGAGGATAGAGAGGTGGCATCCCGGATACACTGAGGGGAGTATTCTAGAATTTGGGAGATACTACAGTAAATGATCGGCCAGCCATAGAAGTCAATTTTAACCTTGGAACATGAAGAAGGCCTCGGTTTTGCAATCTTAAAGTACGTGATGCGACACATAGACGAAGAAGCTCTGCCAAATATTGAGGAGCCAGACTACAAAGCTTTATATGTAATAAGGAGAACCTTGTACTAAACACTGAGTGTAATGGGTACCCAGTGAAGACTCTGAAGGACTGCGGTGATGTGATTATCCTTCTTTGGAAAGGTGACGATCCTAGCAGCGGCATTTTGAACATACTGTAACCTGGGGAAGGCTCTGACAGGGAGGCCAGAGAGAAGAACATTGCAGTAGTCTAGCTGTGATGCCACTAATGCATGCACAAGTGTTTCTACACCAGCTTAGCTGAGAAATGGTCGGAGACGAGAAATATTGCGAAGATGGAAAAAATCCATCCAGCGTGTAAAACAACCCTAAGCACAGATTTCCAAGGTGAGGTAGGGAGAAGGGTCTGGCTGCAGACATGCACTCTCAGCCTGACATGCACCACCAGCCTATTGATGACGTCAGTGCCGCTCTGCCACGACAGTGTTTCTATCAGTTTTACGAGGAAAACAGCGAATCACGTACAAGAGTGACACTGAACACATTAACGTTGCCATACTGATATAAAGGTACTTAAATATGGAAACTTTCAAAATAAAACCTACAATGACGATCAAACATGAATGTCAGGTTTATTTGCAGAAAAAAAAAAACAAAAAGCCTATTGAAACTCATGAAAGCCAGGCTGACGACGATTAGAACGGTTATAAAAAACTGTAATACTGATTATAATAGAACTTATTAAGGATTCTAAGAGGCTCGTCAAAGTTGTCACAACCTCCTAGAAAGTTGTCAGACAACACTGTCATAACTTAGTAATTACACTTCAACATTGTGACAATGTAGAAAACCACCAAGCAGACG